TTCTTAAGAATTAAGCATCATAATCTCCAAATCTATTAACAACTTCTAACGAACTCTACCAACATAATACACCTATTTCCTTTCTTTTTTTTAAAAAAAAAGAAGAAAAAATTATTACTTAGACATTGCTGTCAAGAAGTTGCACTCAATTTATATCGATCTGATTATAGTTGCAATTTAACAATGGGAAAAAAGTTACTAAATAATAAATGAGAAAATCCACTTAAAGTAAGTTCACATTACCCTCTTCTCCTCTTCTACTTTCCATCACAAAACATGCAATATTATTTAGTATATTTGAAGAATTATGTTCCTTGCATATTTGATTTCCTCAGTTCTTAATCCAATTCGCTTGATAATATTTGCATGCGAAACGATAACTAATAAGCAATAGCAATTTTTTTAGTTTGTTTATTACTTATTAGAATGAAAAATTTAAAAAAAAAATTGAAGCTTGGATTTGTTGAAAATATTTCTTTCCTTCCATCATAAAATATACTAAATTATTTTCTATTGAAGAATTTTGTGTATTTAAAGGAATTTGCATACGTAGCTTTTCAAAATCTTAATTTTCAAGCATCTAATTTATTGCCTAATTAAGGTTATGGATTTTATTTATGAAAAATTTAAAAAACAATTTTTTTTAAAATATCTATTATATTTATATAAAAATCTAAGCTTTATGCTTAATTTATTCCAACCCTTAAGCTTATAATTCTACTAAACGACACATACGCCCATCTTTAAGCTCAACATAGATTTAATTAAGTCCTTTTCCACAGCTCTTTATTTACTTTTTTTTTTTCGAAAGTGAAATTCCGCAAAACAATTCGAGCTTACACGCGAATACCGTTTGCTACCAACATAAAAGATTTATCTATAATAGAAAATGTCCCAAAAACGAGTGAAAAGATTCCAGAATAAGGACAGAAGGGGGTAGGAGTGTGCCACGGCACTATTTTACGTACATTCCATCAATCATGCTCCTTAAAAAGGTCGGAGTTGAGGGGTATTCCAAAATGTCACCTGACTTCAATGCCACAGAGTCCAGCGGTGCGTAAAAATTGGTACGCCCGGGAAAAAAGAGGTTGGGAGGGAGGGGGAGAGCTTGTGGGGGAGCGTGGGTGGTGGTCGATGAATAGTGGTTAAATTCAGGGCCCCGTAAAAGTGTCAGTCGCAGAAGGCGCGCCATATCTTCGGCCCCGGAAAAGGTTGTCGTTTGACCGTTTTTGGGAGCAGGATAAGGAAAAAAAAATTAGTATAGGTAAGTATGACAAAAAAAAAATGGCACATGTTCGCTTTTTTGCGCAGCAGGGCGAGGAAATTCTGGTCGTGAATTATTATGTCTCGGAACCTGTTTCAAGCAGTGAATAAGATGGTTCCGGGTTATGAATGACCAGGCGCAAATTTAGAGTTTTTAAAAAAAATTATGCAATAAATTCAAATGCAGTATTTGGTGCACTTTATTGCGCAGTTGGGGTGAAGATTAATTTTGAAAACTGAAAAAATTTAGATTATTAATTACTAAGTAAAATTCAGAATGAGATATTTGATTTAAAAAAAAATTTTGCGCTGAGGAAAAAATTTTAAAACCTCCAAAGACTGAAAAAAATTATTATTTATTTCAGAATTTCGAAGTTTATAAAATTTAGGCAATAAATTTAAAAGAAATATTTGAAAAATACTCTTGCAATATTTCCACACTGAAAAAATTCAGGATCAAGTTACGGTATTAAGTACCGGCACTTTGAATGCATCAATTCGTTGCAATGCAACAACTCGTAAAATTCATTTTACCGTAAAATATCATATCGCAATTCTTACTGTAATATTTCTTTAATTAGAATGCTTCTTAATGATTTTTACGGTAATTGTAACAGCAAAAGTTTTTCAAAACTTCGGTATTTCAGAATTTTTTTCCGTAACTTGTTCTGGTAAAAATGAATTTTACGGTAAAATGTATTGACACACTGTGTGCCAGTATTTTCGAAAAAGTACCATAATTTGATCCGGAATTTTTTTCGATGCAATTGCAGTAGAGTGTGGATTTCCTTTTTATTTTTAAAAGCATTTTTTTTATCATTATTTTAAACAAATTTCCAAAGTTGTTTAAAAGTTCGGTGCCTGCCATTCGAAAAAAAAAAGTTGCTTAAAAAACATTTAAAATGCAAAGGAAATTAAAAAATGAAAGAAAAAGTTGTTTAAAAAACATTTAAAATGCAAAGGAAATTAAGAAATGAAAAAAAAAGTTTTTTAAAAGACATTTAAAATGCAAAGGAAATTAAAAAATGAAAAGAAAAGTTAAAAAACATTTAAAATGCAAAGGAAATTAAAAAATGAAAAAAAAAAGTTGTTTAAAAAACACTTAAAATGCAAAGGAAATTAAAAAATGAAAAAAAAAAGTTTTTTAAAAAGCATTTAAAATGCAAGGGAAATTAAAAAATGAAAAATAAAACTTACGCAATTTGTTTAAAAGCAAACATATTTACATTTCTAACTGTAAGGATGGATTTTCATTCTATTTATTTACTGTGCTCATTTTATATCATGCAGATATACCAATAAATAGTTTAAGGCTACACAGTACCCTAAAATTCGCAAAAATATGCAAAAAAATATTTTTGCATTTTTGGGTGGCTAATGTGGTTGGGAAGCAAGTTGAAAAATTTTGCATCTGAGATCTAATTAGTTTTAGAGATATTAGGATTTTTCCGAGTTGTGTCAGACTCACAATTTGACAAGCGAGGGGGCGTGGTTAGTTTCGTTTTCTTTTAAATCTAATTTTAAAACTTTTTTTTTCAAAAAAAGACTTATTTTATTTCGATGATTATTAATTTTCACTTTCTCCAAAAGTTATCAAATTTCACTTTCACTTCTAGAAGCATTGTTGTTTATTTATGTTCGGTGTTTGATGGATGCGTTCTAAAGTTGTGTTTTTACTAAATTTTTATTTATAAAAAGTCTTTTTTAAGACTAATATTTTTTAATTTATAAATACATTCGTAACAGAATATTTGTTATACTTGATTGACTGAATATTTATATAATTATGCTAGCTATTTCTTTAATCCTATTGCTTTGTTTGTCTAAACCAATGTTACGTGTATTTTAGCCGATACAGGTTACATATAAATTTTAAATGTGAAAAAATATAATACTATTAATATTCAAGTAAATTAGTGTTTTTGGACCAGCAATAAGTTTGTTTATAATATATTAAGAAAGTAGGACTGTACAAGCATTTTTAGTTTTGGTTTTATGGTTCTCTTTACTTTAAATGTCATTTTCTCAGACTTTCTTTTTTGTTGATGCCACTGTTTTCGATTCCCTAAGGCTTTTTTCCCTTTAAAGATAAAGCCTTGAAATTTTTTGTAGAAACTTTTATGTATATACAGACCAAAAGTTAGTATGGATTTCAGTGTGAGATGTATACATTTTTTTTAATAAAAATTTGAAGTTGGAGTTTTTAGAATTTTCGGGTTTTCCACGTGTTTAGTAACGATAAAAATAATTAAGATTCAACTAAGTATCAGAGCATCAAATCCATACTAACTTTTGTTCCTAATAATCTAAGATATTTATATTATTTAAAATAACTGAAAAATTTTGAAAATTAAAAAAGTTATAAAAATTTAAAAAAATCTTGAATTTTTTAAAAAAATTTAAATTTTTTAAATTGTGGTTTGTCGATTTCCCTTTTCTTTTTGAAAATCAGTTTAATAATATAATACAAATGAAAATCTATTATTACTTTTAATATTACAGGCCTTAAAAAATTTTTTTAAAAAAGGGTACCGTGTAGCCTTAATAAAGCAAATCAGTTCAATAAGACAACTGTACACTATCACTCTTTTCTAGATTTTTCTCAATCAGGAGTGAGATTGACTACTGAGATTTTTATCACAACTTGCTCTAGATAAATAAATAATCTCAAAGTTTTAAAAAAAAAAAAAAAAAAAAAATTTACACTCAAATGTCTGTAGATCCGAAATTTAGAGAATCCCATTTCTTCATTCTTGGAAATTCGGCATGGCGGTTGTAACTGAAATTTATATTTCAATTAATTTTTTTTAAAAATACAGTGCATAAAAACTACTGGGTATAACAAATTTAAATAAAATAGATTAATAAGAAAGAAAGCCGTAAAATCGACAAAAATGGGATTTTAACAAAAACACCTGTGCTTGTAAACGATTCCCCTGCGTACCTCTTCAACCACACTCCTGTTTCAAGGTAAATTTTCATGACTGCCTTGACATGCTACTATTTTTCTCACCCCAGATATTGTTGAGATCTAGTTTGGAATTTCATAATTCCTAACCACACTGCAAAAATTTTCGGATCAAATTGCGGTAATAAGTACCGGTATATACTCAGATGCCGATACTTTTTCCATCAAAATTCATTCTCATTGGAGCATGTTACGGAACAAAAAATTCGATATACAGTAATTTTTTCTACAAGAATTACCGTAAAATCACTGAATCACTCAAACTAAAGGATTATAAATGTTTCAATAAAAAGTACGGTATAATATTTTATGATAAGAATAGACTTTATGGTCAAATGGATTTTACGGATGATGCACTCAAAATGCCGATACTTTATGCGTAATTTGCTTCAGAATTTTTTATTGAGTTTACTTGCTTGCACATATATAGTACGTGCATATCTATAGTTTCGCATTACCGTATTATATTCTACACTTAATTACAATTTGCGTAGCCCTGTCTTATAGCGTTATTCATAAATTTTGTTGAACATTTTAAATTTATTTCGAAATTAAAAAGTATTTCTTTATCCGACCAAACACTCCATGGGTTTTTTTTTCCTTCATAAACTCTCCACCTTTAAATGTGTTTATAAAAATTAATTTCCCCGTTTTCTAATCACACTCCAGAACACTCCACATTACCGCAAAAGTTATCCACCTTTCCTCATAAAAACGTAAGCAAAGAAGCTGATAACAGTGATAAATATGTCGCGACAACAAAGGTACCTAGCTACTTCCACGAAGTGATTATAATGTTTATTTTTAGACCACATCTGCTTCTAGAAAAAAAGAAGAAGATCCTTTTAGCAGCCATGGTTTCTGCAGAGCTGATTACACCCACTTCTAGAGCATTAGTCTTTCTCTATTACAATCACCAGACAGTGCCAAAGATGCAACAGTGAGTTATAACCCCTTTCTTTTGACGGATTTGTGCTCTCCTATTCAAAATTGTTGATGCCTTTGTGGTAGATAATAGATTGAATGCTAAAAGCCACAGATTGTGTTTGCAAAATCTTTGTTTTATCGTTTGTGTAGGGCGCAGAGACAAAAGCTTCCTTTTTAACGATGCCAAAAAGAGATTTAAGCATGCTCTAAGGTCCATTGGGGCGGTTAAAGTTTAGTGAGATTGCGAAGCATTTAAGCTGTTTATGCTTTTGTGGAAATTATGTGTCTAGGTTTGTGTTGAAAAGGCAGACAGTTTCTATATTCCGATGCTGTCGCGTAGCGGAATGAGCCTTTTCCACTTATAAATCCTTTTATAACAGGATTTCTATTTTATGCTTTATTGTGTTAGGATTCAAACAGTCAAATAACTATAAAGTTAAATGTATCTGCTGAATTAAATATTTATGTTAACTCAGAAGGCTTTAAAAATAAATTTCTTTGATTGTTTTCCGATTGTATTAAAATTGTTATAAAAAACTCAATTGCGATAAGTTTCGCGAGTTTTTATTTTTAAATATATAAATTTTTTATGCATTATATTTTTTAAATTCAAAATTTACGCAACTTATTTTAAATTCAAAAATATATGCTTATAAAATAACAATATAATTTGAATTTTTTTTATGTTTTGTGTAAGGACTGAAATATTTTTTTTCATTAAAAAAAATTGCATATCTAATTAAAAAAAAAAAAAAAAAACATTACAAATTTTTTTTCAATTTTTATTAAACTGAACATGCACAGTACAAAGATAGGCAAGCATCACAAAACCTTCATCGTTTTTAACGAAGTCATTTCCTAGCATAAACTCCGGCAAAAATTTCGTCAATGTGACGAAATAACAATCGTCACTTATTCGAGGAAATGGATTTCCTCTGAATTAAAGAAATATTTCGTCACCTTATTTTCTTTCCGAAAAAAAAAGAAAAAAAACTTGTTGTAACGAATAATCACTTAATCGTGGGCACCATAATGGTGGATCGAAGTCACTCTAACAACACAAGAAGGATAGAGATACACATAAATTCGAACCCGGGATCTTCCTAGTACGAGGCCAACTCCTCGACCCTCACACAGGCTGGTTTGCTTCATCCACTTTATTTTCTATCATTTCGTCATTTTAGTTAAAATTCTCCCACTATGCGCTATGATAAGTTTTGAGTAGCGGAAATATTTTAATCCTAAATTGGAGAGTTCATATTTCGCCACAAATCAAGTGATTTCGTGACGAAAAAATTCTGAAAAATAATGAAATACTCTTTAAGGATTGCTAAATCGTCAAAAGTGAGAATTTTATTTCTAAGAGTGCCCGTTCAAAAAATATTCTACTAAAATCATGCCAAACTTTGAATAGGGGAGAGTGGGGTCAATTGTAACATTTTTTACATAACTATTTTTAACTAGCGAAAAATCCAATATATTATTAGTATTAATTGACAGACGAGTAAAGTAGACTATCCTCTACTAGAAAAAAAATTAAATACCTTATTTTAAATGTTATTATATTAGTTATAACAATTTCTGACAGTCATGCACTTGTTACAATTGTCCCCACTTACGGGGTCAATTGTAACAGTTCATAAATTCAACTAAAACATAGTTAACTATACATATTATCATAGTTGTGATATATTTTTTTATTGATCAAAATAGTAGTGATATTTTAGGAGTAAAAATAATAATGAGCAGAGACCTAAAGGGTTAAACTTTTAACTTTAAGGGGTTAAAAATTTTAATTTATGCTGTGAAAGGTGACAAATAAAATAATGCACATGCAACATAATATAAATGATATAGGAAACTATTGGTGGTTCTTAAAGAGTTAAGTAATGGTTTGTAAACATAAGATTATTTATTTTCAGCTGTTACAATCGTCCCTTTACTTATTGTTACAATTGTCCCCAAGACGCCATTTCAGCTTCATTTGTTAAAAACAATGCTAGTTAATTAGCAAAACTAATTTTTTTTTTATTGAAATGTTAATTAAGGTGTCCACTTACATATTCGGTTAATAATTTTTATTTGTTTAAACAAAATTACTTTGTTACAATATAATATTCTAATACCAAAAAAAGTACTTACGTAGCGTGAAAATATCTTTTGTGATGTAACTCTTTCAAAAGTACATAAAAATGGTTGCCAGCAGGGGTGTACATGTAGATTTATTAAATACACCTTGTGCGCCACCTAGGAACCAAATCTAGAACCGGACACTCGAAATTTTTGCTCTGTTACAATCGTACCCTGTTACAATTGACCCCACTCTCCCCTACTGTATCTAAAAATGTTGTCTCACCTGTAAAATTTTGAAGTTAAATTACTATGGCAAAAAAATTGCTTGATTTCTAAGGGTGTTGTACAAGATAAACAAATGTGCACATCATTTAAAAAAATTAACAACCTCTAAAGAAATAATCACATTTATTACACTTTTTTTTTCTTCAAAAAAGCTAGGTTAGAATACATAAGAAATAGATAAAAACACAAAATTTATTTTTTCATAAACTTCTAGCACTTTGGATGTCTACTGTCTTAATGAACTCAACTTTATTGTATGTTAATTTGACTTAAACACGGTTTTTATTTTTCTATAGTTAAATGAAGAATTTAATTTGAATGACCTACGTGCACTTGCATTTTTTGGCAACTGTATGTAACGTAATAAAAGTGTCGGAAGACAAGTAGTTAATTTTACTCAATCATTGTAACTGTCATTTGCTTTGTGATTAGATTTAAATTATTTTTTTCTCATAATTATTTATTGTTTTAACCCTTAAATAAACATCAAGACGTGAGAAGCTATTGAATTTAAGATTTATATTTGTAGGCAAGATTAAGTGCCACGTGTGGCTATAAAAATAGTTATCTCTAGTTCTCCTGGCATCAGAACTGTAAGTAAAATTACCTTTTAGAATTGAATCAGAAATGTTTACATTAACAGATAACATTTTAATAATTTATTAAATTTCATGATTATTTTCAAATCCAATTGAAATTTACCGTTTTGCTTCTTTGAAGTTTTATTTACTGATTTAATAATCTATATTAATTATTTACTGATTTAATGATATAGCGCGCGCTAGTTTTTCTTTTTCATTTCGAAGATTAAAATTTTTTTTCGGGGGGGGGGGGTATCAGT